TCCGAAGGTGAAGGATCTTTAGGGATCGGATTATATGGTCCATTCGTTTAAGAGTTTAGTGATACCATCGATGAAAGTGTTCTTATCCATGACGACTATCTGGCCACCTTTGTCAGCCTTTGAAATGATAATATCCGGGTTAGAATGAATTTCCTATGTTTATTTTATTCCTATGTTTATGTCCATTTTATTCCTACGTTTTCCGTGCTCTTCAAGTTTGCTCCTCCAAACTAGCCCTTGATGAAGAACTAAATTATTTAAAAGCAATAGCTATTGACAGGGGCTTTTCACCCAACATTATTAATCAAGCAGTTAAAAAATTCTCATCTCAACACACTAAAAGCCACACTCTTATTTTAGGAGATTATAAAAATTCTATTGTCATTCCCTTCTTTCCATCAGTTAGCTATAAAGTTGCACATATTTTGCAGAAATTTAACTTTCGGGTTGTTTATTCTCCCATCAATAAAATTCCAACTTCTATACTCAAGGACCCCATTCCGGATATGAATTCCTGGGGTTTTTATAGGATTCCTTGCCAGTGTGGTTTAATTTACATTGGCCAAACTAAGAGAGCCTTAAAATTTCGCGTCAAAGAACATGAGGCATATGTTAGAAAAAAGGAAACACAGAAGTCTTCTGTTGCTCAACATTGTTGGTCCGAAAATCACACTTTCAATTTTTCTGCTGCCAAAATTATTCAAAAAACATCTTCCATTGGAGAACTGGATTTTCTAGAGGCATTTCACATTCATAAAAATCTTTCTGTTCTAGTTAACGATCCTAATTCCAATCCAAATTTGCCTTCGGCTTTTAGAGAAATTATGTTTTAGTTCTGGTTTCGCCAAAAGATGGCGCCACTTGCTTATTCTTGTCCAGGCTTTCTTATCTTATCTAATAATTATTTCCTATCTTGTTCATTTGCGGTTTTGCAGCTGAAGATGATGGTTCGGTAAAACCATCGAAACTAGTCCTGTGAAAATTTTGTAGGTATAACGCTGATTTTTGTTGTTTGACTTCTGAATTAGTATTTATTCGGCATGTTATTGTGTCTTAAATATAGAAGCCCCAAACAGGCTTACATTTTGCTTTCTTTTTTGCACGTGGTGTGGCCGCCATTTTGTTATTGTAGGAGTTTCGGTGAGTACATTTTTGCAATTTTCAAGTTATGTTTATGTTTTGTACATTTGGATATTGTGCTTTGCTTGTCTGATTTCATGCATTTTGCTTACAAACGTTTTGTTTTCTATTCATTTCAGTGAGTGATTTTTCTGCTGCTGTTTTTGTGTGTACTTTATTATTGCTCAGTTAATTTAGTTTGATTTTCTGCATTGTTTATCATGCCTTCATCCGTTAATCATTTCACTAAATTATGCCTGAAAACGGCAAAAATTCCTGAATCATCTTGACTTTTTACTTAAATGTAAATGTAAAAAAATTGATCCCCAATTTTATTCAAATCAAATCTAATCAAAAACCTTCGAGTCGCGTTTCAAGAATTCTGTTAAAAATTGCAAGCTTGCCTTAGTTCGGTCCGTGATAAGGGATACACGTCAACAATTGTCCAAAATTGAACATGAACTCTATAAGCTTCATCTGGAACTCGCTAAATCATATCCAAAATTCACTGCCCTTGAACAAAAGTCTTGGTCTAGAACGGAGAATGCAGTTAACCGTCATAAAAACACCCTTGCAGTTAAATTCAAAAAACTTCTTTTACAGTCTTCCAGTTCAAGTAGTTCAAAAAATCTTCCCATTGTAAACATCAAGCCAATAGTTAATATTTCTAATGTTAGTCTTTCAGAAGAACAAGAGAGAATTCTAAAATATAATTTTAACTTCTCACAAACCTGTAAACCCTCGATTCCAAAGATTTTGGCTCCTATCGAAAAAGCTTTCAAGTTCAGTAAAGTTTCAGATTCACAGAAAGAAATGATTAGGCATCTTATCGCTCATAATGTGAAATTCAATAATAAACCTTTGAAACCAAATCTAACTGCGAGAGAAAGAGCTACAATGCGCGAAATTCATTCTAACCCGGATATTATCATTTCAAAGGCCGACAAAGGTGGCCAGATAGTCGTCATGGATAAGAACACTTACATCGATGGTATCACTAAACTCTTAAACGAAGGACCATATAATCCGATCCCTAAAGATCCTTCACCTTCGGACTTATCCAAAATACGAGTAAAAACTGCGATCAAATCTTCGCAAATCATTTCAAGCAACTTAAAACATTCGCTTATCCCATCTGTTGCGAATTGTGCCAGATTATATGCTCTTCCCAAAATTCATAAAAGTGGTATTCCTTTCCGCCCTATTGTATCAAATTTAGGTACTGCCTCGTATCCTTTAGCTAAATATTTAGTTTCTAGATTTTCCACTCTATTAGACAATAACATTTACACCATAAAAAATTCAATAGAGTTTGTAAAAAAGGTTAAAAACATTTCTCCTAGTAATTTACTCATGGTTTCTTTTTTTCTTTTGATGTAAAATCATTATTCACCAATGTCCCAGTGGAGGGTGCATTAAGATGTCTAGAAACCAGACTTCGCGAATTTCATTTCCCTTGCATCGAAATTGATGAGCTAATTTCTCTCACTCAACTCTGTTTGAAACAAACACATTTTGTTTTCCAAAATAAATATTACAAGCAAACTGAGGGATTAGCTATGGGAAGTCCCCTCAGTCCCATCCTGGCTGATATCTACATGCATTATTATGAATCAAAATTGTTTGAAACTTTAAACTTCCCGGCATGGTTCCGCTACGTAGAAGATACTTTTACCCTGTTTGAAGGTAATAAAGATGATTTAAATAAAGTTCTTTCAACAATGAATTCTATTGATCCTGCTATTCAGTTCACTTTTGAACTTGAGACTTGCAATTCTCTTCCGTTTCTCGACATTCTGGTCACACGTAACACATCCAACTTCAGTACTACAGTTTACCGTAAACCTTCATCGGTTTGCCTTCCACCACACTTTAAATCATGTCATCCGACTAAACAAAAGTTATCTTCATTTTATTCCTATGTTTTCCGTGCTCTTCAAGTTTGCTCCTCCAAACTAGCCATTGATGAAGAACTAAATTATTTAAAAGCAATAGCTATTGACAGGTGCTTTTCACCCAACATTATTAATCAAGCAGTTAAAAAATTCTCATCTCAACACACTAAAAGCCACACTCTTATTTTAGGAGATTATAAAAATTCTGTTTTCATTCCCTTCTTTCCATCAATTAGCAATAAAGTTGCACATATTTTGCAGAAATTTAACTTTCGGGTTGTTTATTCTCCCATCAATAAAATTCCAACTTCTATACTCAAGGACCCCATTCCGGATATGAATTCCTGGGGTATTTATAGGATTCCTTGCCAGTGTGGTTTAATTTACATTGGCCAAACTAAGAGAGCCTTAAAATTTCGCGTCAAAGAACATGAGGCATATGTTAGAAAAAAGGAAACACAGAAGTCTTCTGTTGCTCAACATTGTTGGTCCGAAAATCACACTTTCAATTTTTCTGCTGCCAAAATTATTCAAAAAACATCTTCCATTGGAGAACTGGATTTTCTAGAGGCATTTCACATTCATAAAAATCTTTCTGTTCTAGTTAACGATCCTAATTCCAATCCAAATTTGCCTTCGGCTTTTAGAGAAGTTTTTTTTTTTTTTTTTTTTTTTTTTTTTTTTTTTTTTTTTTTTTTTTTTTTTTTTTTTTTTTTTTTTTTTTTTTTTTTTTTTTTTTTTAGTTTTTTTTTTTTTTTTTGGTTTTTTTTTTTTTTCGTTTTTTTTTTTTTTTTTTTGTTTTTTTTTTTTTTTTTTTTGTTTTTTTTTTTTTATTTTTTTTTTTTTTGTTTTTTTTTTTTTTTGTTTTGTTTGTTTTTTTTTTTTTTTTTTTTGTTTTTTTTTTTTTTTTTTTTTTTTTGAGAGAAATTATGTTTTTTGTTCTTTTCCAACAGATGGCGCCACTTGCTTATTCTTGTCCAGGCTTTCTTATCTTATCTAATCATTATTTCCTATCTTGTTCATTTGCGGTTTTGCAGCTGAAGATGATGGTTCGGTAAAACCATCGAAACTAGTCCTGTGAAAATTTTGTAGGTATAACGCTGATTTTTGTTGTTTGACTTCTGAATTAGTATTTAACTTTTCTGTTAACGAAAGTAAAACTAAACATATGCTTTGTTTAAAATATGACTTTTTGCTTAATCATTTAGAAATTGGTAGCTATTGATTTGAAAAGGTCTAGTTTCACTTATTTGGCAGTGGAGATGAAATGTAAACTCCTTTAATACTTAAAAGAATCTCTTCTACGAATAGATGTTTTCATGGCCTGAAAACCTATTTAAAATCTAGCATCCTCGAGTTAAGAACTAAATTACTTGTTTACAAGAATCTTATCTGTTCTCACTTATGCATCAGAAGCTTGAGGTTGACTTTATGTTATGAGGTAGCTTTTGGGATTTTTGAGAGAAGGATATTGCATTGCACAGTAGGTGGGGTTTGTGTGAATGGATTGTGAAGAAGATCTAATTTAAAGTTATGAAAGCTCTATAAACATTCTGCTGTAGTAAAATTCTTCAAACTACAGAGACTTAAATCGGCTGGCCATCTGGCCAGAATGCTTGAAGATCGGTGTTATAAGAAAGTCTGTCTGGCAAAGCCCATGGGAACCACACCTCAGGGTAAATCCCTGGTGAGATGGATCAGTTGTGCTGAAAATGACCTAAATATTCTAAAGTTCAAAAACTTAAAAACAGTTGCCAAAAACCAAGATGCCTGGAGAAGGAAGGGGGTGTTGACCCAATGAAGAAGAGGAAGAATTTCTTTCAAAATAGTTAATTTTGACTGTATTATAAGAAATCTAATACTTTAGTGCAATTAATAGAACCAAATAAGTATTTATTTTCATTGGAAAACAAAAAAATTGATAAGTGACATTTACTTTTATAACTGTGTAAATAGTTATCAATTTTTATCTTGCATATTTTGTAGGTTTTATTCGAAGAACCTTTGGAATTTTTACTTTCCATTATTTTATAACATCAGTAATAACATCTGGAATTATTCTTTTCCCTCTTGTGCGTTTCTATGTGAATGAAAAGTAAGTTCAATAATATTTTTTTAAACTTGTTATTTTTAAAGCTTACATTGGGAAGTAGTATATTTACAACTTCTGCCATTATTTTAGCAATTTTTAAAATTCAAACTTCTTCATAACATATTACCTAACAGTTCAATACAAAAAAGTAAATGAATTTAATTTAAAGTAATCTAAATAAAAACAGCATAGTGAGAAAACTAATGAAAAATCCTGATCATCTAATAATTTTAAGAATGAGAACTAGATGAATTATGTTAGGCTGGCATTTGGGAGAAATTCTTATGATGTAGGTTATGGGATACATCTGCACATTCATGTTACATTTCTTTAGTTACATCAGCAGTTTTAAACTCAGCAAAGTATAAAATTATTAGATTTTATAGAATGAACTAATCTAAGGTATTGATAACCTTAAACACTGGAATGTGAAAAAAGTTATGTGTGTTACAGTATTTCTTAGTAAATCTAGTACATCTGGAGAACTAGTAGACCAGTGTGCAGATCCGGTATATATGTATAGTTGTAAGCTAGTGACGTGTAGGAAACGTTTGCCGTAAGCTAGTAACCTATGTTTAGTAGAACCTTGAATATAATTGAGCAGTAACTCAGAAATATTCAGTCTCTAAGCCCCTATAAAAAGCCCTATATAAATAAGCCCTATATAAATTTTGGGTTCTTAGTTTTGAATCAGCACCTCAGGGGTCAATTCTTTCTTCTTCAGGCTTCTCTTGTAACTAGGGTAATGTCTTAAAATTGTTTATTCATCTGTTGGGAGTACTAATAAGTCTCTGATACTTGGGAAAAAAATGGTGCCATCAGTAAGTTATGGGTAAAACTGTCTGATGTAACATCATAAGGTAGGACATCTGCTAACAACATAACCTTGAAATATTAGCGATATTGTATCAGCAACATATATATATTTTTTTTGTGCGAAAATATCGAGCTTTGTGCTGAATGAGTGTCATTTGTGGGAACTTTTGATTTGCTTCTTTAATTTGAAGAAATCTGCACCTGAGGCACATTGATTGCTTGTAGAAGCATATGATGTGGCTGCTTTAAGTGAGAGAAGTTGTGAGTGGTTTCAAAAGTTTAAGAATGGTGAATTTGACTTCGAAGATGAGCGCGAAGATGAAAATGTATGAAGACACGGAATTGGAGGCATAATTGGATGAAGATTCTTGTCAAATGCAAGTAGAACTTGCACTTACATTAGGAGTCACTCAACAATTTCACATTGTTTAAAATCATTGGAAATGATTTAAAAGCAAGGAAATTGTCTTGCACATGAACTGAAGAACTGAAGAATGAATATGAACAAGAAATGTTGAATGGAAATTTTTTACATGTGAAATGCTGCTTACTGGATGCAAGCGAAGGTTTTTTTTTTCCATTGTATAGTCACTGATGATGAGAAATGGATCCACTATGATATCTGAAGGAAGAAGAAATCAATGGGACCACCTTGCCATGCTTCAATATTGACAGTCAAACTGAATATTCATGGAAAAAAAATCCTGTTGTGCATGTGTTGAGATCAACTCGGCGTCATGTATTATGATTTACTCAAACCGAACGAAACCATTACTCTGGCTCTCTACCAACACATCTGATGAGATTGAGCCAAGTACTCAAAGAAAAATATGTCCACTACTACTCCAAACATAACAAAATTTTTCTTTTGCATCATAACACTCATCAACATATTGCAGCGTCAGTCAAAACTTATTCTTAAACATTTAAATGAGAAGTTCACTCCCCTCTTGCTGTATTCACCAGACATAGTTCTTTCTAATAACTACTTGTTTTGATTAATGAAGCATGGCCTGTCTGAACAGCGCTTCGCATCATATGAAGATACTAAAAATTGGGTTGATCTGTGGATAGCTTTGAAAGATGATTTATTTATTACAAATGCCTAGAAGATTACTATGAAGGCATTAGATCTCTAGCCTTCCAATATTTTTTAATGTTACAGTTTAAAACCACAAGTGCAGAGCACAAGTCAATATGAGTAGTGTAAAAAATTTGATGTTGTCCGCACAGAAGATATTAGGGAGAGTCACAAAGCCCAAGCCAATACAAGTACGCTGGCAAACAGTCATGACCTGTAGTAAGGTGGAAAAGTGCCACACCTGCATTTCTAGGAAAGTCTGGGATCAACCGTGTATTCTCAAGCAGTGAGGCCCATGGCTTGCTGGCATCTGCTTTATCCTAGAGGCATATCTTCTTTTTATCAGTAGTTTCACTGAATGAAATAAGATGCTTTGCAAAGGTCTTTGGAGGACCCTTGCACACGTTTTGGCCAAAAAGTCAGCATCCTCATTCCCAGGAATTCTGCAGTTAGCTGGGATTCACTGGGAAGAAACAGAGATTGACGTTGAGAGCTCTCTGCACTCCAGTACATGGGCATTATATGTGTATTGTCTAAGTGCAAGAGATTGAAGAACAGACAGCGAGGTATGACAAAAAAACCAGCTCTGCAGAATGACGAGGGTGGATAGCCAGTTGCTTTAATGCAATGTAAATAGTCTCAATTTCTCCATCATAATGGGTGGAATGAGCACGTATTGGTGCATAGCATGAAAGAAGATCACAACACACACTGGCTCCCGCTCTGTCTTCACGTTAAACATTTATCCATCTGTGTAGACATGTAACCATGTTTCTCTAGGGTATTTGTTTTTAGTGGAAGATAGAGCAATGGCATGAACCTGTTGTTTGCTCAAATGACTCTTATTAACCTGCATATCCAGCTTCAGACACACCGAGATCTCTCCACATCCCAAAGGTCAAACAGGCCTACAAAGAATTTGAGGATTGAGGTGGACATTCATATCAGTGGCTGCAGAATAAGCATATTGTATAAACCCTTTTTAAGATATCTCTCTGTGTGAGTGTCATAATCCCTTCAAAAAGTATTGTTGGATAGGCGAATCAACTTTTCATAAAGGACTGCATCTCTTTAAATTATGTTTCTTATTGGAGAGTTTTGAGTTAAACACTGCAGTGGTGGAATAGGAATGGTTCGTACAGCGTCTGTAATAATATGGAGAGCTTGGTCTTGGACAGTTTCAAGTTTTTGAATAGTACTAGTAGCAACAGAGACCAGAACTTCATTACAGTAACTGAAGATTGGCTGAATGAAAAGCTTCTTGGCTTGCAACTCCATTTGCAACCAGCCAACCTTTTAAGAATAGGAAGTCTTTTAACAGTTTTTCAACTTACATAATCAATATGTCTTTTCCAACTCAACTTAGAATCAAGAATGCATCCTAAATACTTCATGCTTTCTTCTCTCTGAATTGCAGTACCCTGGAATTTAAGGGCAGGTACAAAAGGATGCCTATTTAGGGCAAAAAATTGGCAGGTGGTTTTTGATTTGTTGACAAATATAGCATTGTCAGAACACAAACTGAGTTACTCAAGGGCTTTTAAGTGTAGCATTAAGCCTATCCTGGGTGTTCTTTGGCTCGCTTGGCCACGTTACCAGGTCATCAGCAAATAGAGCAGTTTTTATCACGGGAATGCTTTCCAATGAATTAATTGGTTAGATCGTTAATATAAATATTAAATAGTATAGGGCTCAAAACAGCACCTTGAGGAAGGCCAGATTCCATTTGTTTGAATATGGATAAAGAGCTTCCTAATTTCACTGAAAAAAACTGCTGACCAAGGAAATTGCATAGCCAGCATAACATATTGCCACTAATTCCCGTGGAAATCAGCTTATAAATTAATTTAGGGTGCCAGACCTTATCGACAAGAAGTCAGCTAAAGCAGATCTGCGATTGCTGAGATCATCCTTAATATTTTGGCTTAGGTAGGCCACCTGCTTAGGCAGGCCACCTGCTTAGGCAGTGGAAGGAAAATGACTAAAACTCCCCTGGGAGTTACAGATAATAGTTGTTGAGTTAGACATATGACTGGCTAATTGTGTAATTACATGAAGAATATTGGTCATCTGCTAGCCTACCTGAATAAAGGGTTATATGAAGTTAGAACAGGGTGGAGAAACAAGTGATGCAGGGTAATAACGACTTATGCTAGGACCATAAACTGAGGGGAATATTTTTATGTAAAGGTGGTTATCATACAAGTATATAGTGCATAGGTTTTTCATAAATTAGGCTTGAAATTCTATGAAAAGTTTTTTGCTTGATGTCGAGAAACAAGTATGAACATTTTTTTATTTTGCCAAATAATACTTAATGCAAGTTTAAATTATGAAGCCAGTTTTCATACTTGTGCCATCTAAGAACTGATAATCTTCTTGTGATAATATATCTTGTATAATGTTTTAAAAAGTTTAAATATTTTGTATAATATCTTAAAAGTTTGTATAATATTTTAAATAACTTGTATAATATTTTAAAAGTTTACTTGGTAAAATTTGGGTTTTATTTGCTGATAGATGGATCTAACAATGCTTTTAAACTTAATTTATTATTTAGCAGAATTTTGCGCTAATTTATTCTTTTAGTACTAGCGTACTTTATTCTTTATCATTGACTACTTCTATTTTGCATAATATTTCTTATATCTGTCAAATGATATTTAAGTTTAAATTATGTAGGTTTATGACTGATAAGAGTGATTGATTAATCATGTTCTGATATGATTCAATATATGCTAATGGGAAAAGTGCTATTTTTGTGTAGATAACAAAAAAAAAAAAAAAAAAAAAAAAAAAAAAAAAAAAATTACGTGCATATCAGTGGTGAGGTATGGAAATTTTAACAAAGGTCTTGCTCATTGTGTTATAAAAACAAAATCCAAATTCTAATTAAATGCTTTACTTTTTACAAGAACAGAAAATACAAATAATTGTGCATGAACAGGGTAATATTTTGGTTCTTGCGTATTAACACAATAAGGTTGGCGCAATTTTCTGATTTTTACATATGAAAAGGTAAAAGTTATTTATCGGGTTCAAATTTTTGGTTTTTGTGATTTAAAATTTTTTTTTAAACTTTCAATATTTTTCTCAAGTTGGCAAACATTATCAGCATACTTTAGCTATTATAAATATAAATTTTAATTGTTAAATAAGGATTACATCATACATTAGAAAAGTAAAATACATTCATCTCCGAACTTTTCTGTAATTTTTTTTTTTTTTTTTGCGCTGTTCTCTCCAAGCACACAGTGATTTGTTTTCTCTTTAAAAAACTTTAGAGAATTTCAGAGACTCAGCAACATTCAAACATTGGTAACACTGGCTGTCTATGAAACACATCTTCCCATTGTTTCCTGTACAGATTTTATGGCAAAACTCTTCTTACAGAAATTTCCTACAGTTTCTTCTATTGCTGTCAAATTCCACAAGTGCATGTTTCAAAATTAAGGCAAAAGATATGGTTTGCTTATAAAAACTGTTGGAGCTTGAAATATAACAAAAACAATGCATACAAAAATGCCAGCATTGTTTGACTGAAGGATTGTTATGAGAATGGCAGTGGCATAATTAGAACGTTTGCTGCCTGGGCTTCCAGGCAGTGACATAGCTAGAACTTTTGCTCAGGAACCCAAGCCCCTCAGTTTGCCATATAAGGTAGCCCCTGAATTTGCCTCTGAATTTATTGATATTAAAACATATAATTACAAAAAAGTGGAGGAAAATAAATTAAAACTCTACATTTGTTTTTGAAAATAAATTTAAATTCAAAAATTTTTAAATTATATTTTTATCTTGTTTGTTTCTTGTTCGCAAAACCATTAATGACAGAGGTTTATTTGATTGCTTCATTTGCTGTTATGTAGCCAGTACAGAAAGATTTCTTAAATATAGAGTAAACTTTTATAGTTCTTAAATACTTCTTAAATGAATTTTATTTCGAAAATGCTTCTAACAATTAGCAGCACTTAACAGCAGTTGAGAGAAAAGTTTGCAGTTGTATTACAATATTTGGAATGTTATTCTTGAGACTGTATTTTAGAATAAACTGGGAAAATTCAAAATTACTGCTCTTTCTCATTCTTGTTTTGATTTCCCTAGCAATAACAGAAATAAAACTGCAATATTTCTGTCTTAACAAGGATTTCTTCATTAATGTAACCATGATCATAATTTAGTCGATATTTATAATTTGCATTCTAAAGTATCGACAGAATCAAAAAGGTGCTTATATAAAATATGTAGTTGATGAAATTACATGATGTCCTTAAATCATTTATCTACATAAAAACTATTCTCAATTTAATTCCATATTGCAATTTAGAACTGTGTTATCCTTCACTTACAATAACAATCCACATGATTAACTTCTATAAAATAATTTTTCACTCCCAAAATAAACCCACCTAAAAATGTGGCACCTGTGGTAGATCACCCCTTCCATCACATTCTAGCTATGTCACTGGAGAACTATTGCCTGAAGAATGGATATGTGTATGGTTGCTAGAGTTTGGCACATTCTGAAAATTTGGTGATTTAGTATATACTAAGGTAGTTATGATGATATATGAATGAGTATCATTTTTTTTCAAAATAAAAAATTATCTTTAAAATATAAAAAAATACAATTTATGACCTGAAGCATACATTTTTAAGACTGAGTAATGTTTTTAAAAAAAAAAAAAAAAAAAAAAAAAATTAGGTAAATAAGGTTTAGGGTTAAAACTGTCTCTTGTTCAAATTTTAGATTATCAAAAATGCCATTTCTGACTGAATTTAAATAAAACCAGAGGCGAAGTTACATTTTCTTCTACATCAATTAAAATTTAAACTGAATTCAGGTAAATTTTAAAATAAAAGTAAACTTTATTTTTATATTAAAATATTTAATTTTTTAACTTCATTTCAGCACCTGGTTGATCATGATCACATTTCCTTTATTTATGGTGTCATATTTTGTTCTTCTGTTGAAACGTGAGGAAAAAGTCATAAACTTCATTCTTCTAATTTTACATGTATGTATTTTCCTTAACTGAATATTTTTTCGAATTTCTATGTTATTAAATTGTACATTAAAGAACTAGCACCACCTTATATTTTTAGCTGTTTGAACTTTGTTAAAACATGTAGTCGCTCAAATGTAGCCAAACTTGATACCATTAGGAGCTGCATATTAGAATTAAGAAATATTGAAAGTTGCAACTAAGTATTAATAACATGTAAAAGCATATTTGAACAGGAAGAATTTCTTAAATTAGCAAAGATTTTGAGTTTTTTTTAATAAATGTGTCTTTTTATAAATGTAAATAAATAAATCTTGCTGCTCATGCTCAGTATTTAGGAAAGTCTATTTCTACGCCATACTAATTTAAATTTGTGTGCCATGAATAGGATGTGTATAGAAATAGAATAATAAGCATTTTCTTTTGGTTTCCTTTTTTGATTATAACTGCCAATTTTAGTAGTAAAAAATGCTTCACTTGTGTGAACTTACTTACACTAACTTAGAAAATATAATCAACAGTTTTAGTCTTCTCTGGAAAGAATGAAACAAGTAAAGAATACGAGTTATTGCGGAAAAATTGGCATTCAGGATAAGAAAATTCTTTTTAAATAAACTGTCAATTTATGAGTGGTTATAAGTGAAAAATTAATGTATTTTCTTCTACATGAATAATACATTGAAACTTTAGATCATGCACATCTCACTTCACAAAGAGTTCAGTTTATAAATTATCTGAACAAATAATGCTTTGGGTATGGCGACTTGAGGAATTAACACTCAAAGCAGCAAGACCTTTATAATTATTACTGACTTTAAAAGGAGGAATTTTCTTCCTCTTTTCTGCATGCTTTCATGGTGTAACAGTTAGCACAGTCAGCGCATATTCGAGAGGTCCGAATTTGAGTCCCAGCAAGGGCATTGCTCATTTGTTCAGTTTCCTGACAATGAAAAATCCTAATGACTACAGTGGTGCCTGAACTAAAAGGTGGTTTCGAGAGGTCTAGGTTTGAGCCCCAGCGAGGGCATATTATATATTTCATGTACTTCAGCTTCAAAATAACCTAATGACTCTGCACCATAAAAAAAAAAAAAAAAAAAAAAAAAAGATGTAATATGATCTGATTTTAACAAACTGAGTGACAAAAAACTTTTTTTACTTACTTTATACTAAAGAATAGGTAATGCTTTCCTCAAGAAGAAAAATTCACATGTGCATTTGCACATACACACAGGGAAAAAAAGAAAAAAAATGCAGTGTCATCAAAATGCTTGTTTTGTTTTTGGAAAAGAGACATGAGACACTTATTATGTCTCAGTAATATTTATGCAAATAAAATAGAAGTAAATATATTTACAGTACATAATTGTTTCCTGATAATGCTTTTTGATATGTAGCCCAAATATTTTATTGTAATATGTTACTAATAGATAATGATATTTTATTTAAATTTGACGAAATGATTTGATGTGATATATGATTAACATATGCTGATATGTTATTAAATTATATGAATTTGTGTGATATGGTTATTGGCTTATAAGTTTTCTTTGTGAGCCATTAAACATGCCTTATCAATTGCCTTATCAAAATTATATTTCCTTAAATATATGTATATAATATACTATTTTATTTTTCTGCATTGTTTAAATCAACAAAAATAATGACAAATAAATTAATAGCAAAGTAGTTTTCAGTCACTTAAAAAAATTTATAAATTCTTATAAGCACAATTTCCAGGTGGTTTGTGGACATATAAAATATACAAGAATGTATTTAATGTAACTGATTTTAGAAAAAAATTCTGTTTTAGGAAAAACTCCTTTGTGTCTGTTAATGTCATTTTGCTTTATTTTTTACTTGTATATCTTTTGCTTTAGCTATTTGTACCACATTAAAAAGACTAAATCAAATATTTGCCACACTGCCTGGAGGCCACCTGTAGCCGAGTAGTTAAGTTGTTGAACACTGGCAGTTCCGACCTGGGTTCGATTCCAGGCAAATGGGCTAACTGCATGGGCGTTTTCGTGTTTTTCCCCATGTGTAAGGTGTATACTAGAGATGGATGATCCACTCCAGAACTGATTCACTTTACTGAGTGAATGATCAGCGCTCATATGAAAACAGAGTGGTAGTTCTTTAACAATTCACCAAGAGCTGTTGTTGGGAAGAATGCCAAAAATTTGATTCCTCTTAATGTAAACACTAGCATACTTTGCCAAAAACATTTCTGAGCTATCTTTTATGTATGTATGTGCTTTTAGTTTGCTTGTGTTCCCGTCTAGTATTTTAAAAAAGAAAAAACATTAAATAAAGAAATGCATCTCAGCGAAACTGACCATCCCTGCTTGCAAATGAATGGAATTTTTTTTCCCATCTGGCAGTGCAGTGATCTGTTTAAAGTATGTGGATTATAGGAACTCACAGCTCAGATTCCCAGCTGTCAGTGCTCTGGTGCTAGTCGCAGATCTGGGTTCTTCGGAGTTGTGATTATTCATCTTTCATCGCTCCTGCATTATCCACAGATCTGGTACCTTTATTATTCGCTCTTTTTATTGCTCCTGCTCTAGCTGCAAATTTGGCTCCTGCGGAGTCTCGATTATTTGCTCTTTTCGCTTCCTTAAAGCTTAGTTGAGTTTCATTTCGATTCTTTGAATACTGTGTCATAATATAGCTATGTATATTATTATTGCCACTTTTATACATTATTACTGTAATATTTATGTAAAATAATAAATTATATTTTTATTTATTAACTTATTTTACTAATGTCTTGTAATCAAGAGCTTTGGATTTCTCTTTAATCTTCTTTAGAATTTGTATATATTTATAAACATAAATTTTTCCATCTAATATATTTTTTCAAGGTTGCAGAACAAAATATGGACCATACCAAACAGAAACACCTCACATCATTTTGGTATCGTTTTTTTTTCAAATTAAGTAAAAAAGGAAAATGCCAACAGATCTGATCCCTTAAAGGAGGGGTTTTGCCGATCTCTGGTGTATATGAGCCAGTTTCCCTGAGAAAGTTCTCCGTGAAGGCATCCCTCACCTTAAGCAGATAGCCCTAGTGTGCTTTGCTATAATCAAATAGATTAAACCAAACCCACATTTCTAGGACATAGTCTTTATGAACAAATCTGCTTATAGAAATTCTTAAAAATTACACTGTACCTTTATTTTAATGCAGAGCTTTCTGAAAAGGTTTAGAAAAGCCACAAGTTCTGTTGTAATCTTAGACTTGGAGCTATTGTTAGATATCAGTCATGTTCAGAATTATTGTCAAACATTAGTAATTTGACACTCTTTGGGTCATTTTAAATGCTGTTGCAATTAGTGAAAGCCGACTAGAAGAAAACACGAGTTCTGCCATGTGAAATGTTATACTAATTTAGTCGGTACATTCTTATGTACTCTTATCCAAAATATTTTGTTGTGTATGATAATTAGAGTATGTTTGCTGCAAAACATTTTTCTCAGATTTTATTCCCAGTCAAAATTTTAAAGTTCACATGTTTATGTATTTTGTTCTTTGGACTCAGTCTGCTCAAAAGAAAATTTATATTAGATTTTTAAGCTTTCTTGAGCTTATTTATGTTTTTGGTGTTATGATTATGCAGATTTTACTCCAGCCTGTATGGTTTCAAATTTTCATGTTGTTATTTTTTCATATGTTGGAGTGGCTATGTATATTATAATGTTTTGTTTACATGTTGTTTATTATAATGTTTTGTTTACATGTTACATTTACATGTTTTGTTTTTAGACTTGGTCTGCTCAAAAAGAATTTTTTGTTTTTAAACATGATTATGCTTTTGATGCTATAATTTTGCTATTTTTTGCACTACTAACTATACTTGTAGGGGTTGGACTGATAAGAACAAACATTACTTATTTGTTAATTTATTTCTCCTTTGTCAAGGATTAACTTAGGTCGCTTTTCTAAATTGTGGTCTGTTATTATTTCATTTTAAAAACTGTAGGTTATTATTATGGTACCTATTGGAAGATTAAAATGCAAGTACAGAAGATGGATAACACTTGATTTTTGTTACAATAATGTATTGACAGGAGTAGGTCCATTTTTAACATACTTAATTTAGCATCAATTTGGAAAAGATAAAATGAAGAAAGCTGCAAGTCTTGTGCATTTATCAACAGAATATTTACCTTTCTTTTTGCAAAAAGTGGTAAATTTTCTACATCATACTGTAAGAGGAAATTATTCCTCACATTATGCCTCAAAATACCTCAAGATGGTTGAATAATACAGTCCTGCTAAAAAGTGAGCAACAAAGGCAAAACATGGAATAAAACAAAAACTGTTTAATGGATGCGCATGAAATTTATCCAAGAGGTTGGTGTGGTATTGCTAGATTACATAGCAAACAATAAAGCAAAGACATACAAAAACACATGTATTATGACCATCACATCGGGAAAGATCAAATGGGTCAGAAGAATGTGCAATGGAAACATCGTGCTAATAATGAGTATGATACCCTGTAGAGTTTACATTTAGTTTTTAACCAGTTATTTTATAGTATGCTTTCCTATCCTCCTTATTTCTATTTTCCTGCTAGAATGTAAATTTCTAGCTTCTGTGATATTCAATTGGGGTAGAAAGGAGAGATTATTTAGAGGAAGGTTTTAGAGGTTAGAATCAAAGCATGTTCTGTCTCCTAAAGGCCATGTTGCTAAATTGATTTCCTTGCAAATAGTATTCTATTGGCGTTGCATTATTCTCACCATTAGGCTTGTCATGCCAACCTTTAAGTCAGAGCCAACTTGCGCATTGCTTTACTTATGTAGCCATTAGGTTAAGTTACTTTACTTAATTAAGTCAATACCAATATCTTTAATTGAAAGCATAACTGTTGGCTATATTTTGTAAGCATGAGTGGTGCCTTCTGTTAATTTTTATTTGAATCAAATAAAAGGGGTCCTTTACACTCTTTTCCTTGTCTCTATGGTACTAACATGACATAGTGATAGTTCACTTCTAACTCTTCAAACGTTTTGTACATTTTATGCTTTCAAAAAATGTGAAAGATTAAAACCCTCCAGCTGAAATGCATGCTTGACAACGGTGAGACAAGCTGGCAATAGTGTCATTGATCACTTATGGCAATAGCGGCCATTCCAGATTACACAGAACTGTTACTGGTTGCAAACTGACACATAGGTCTGGCATGCCCTTTTAAAAGGCTGGTGTGATTGTTGGATTTGTTTTATGCTAATTTTGGTTACCTATTTGCATTTAGTGATGTAACCTTTCCCTCATATGTAAATTGTATCTTTTAATTCCTCTTTTTAGATTTGTACCTTTTCTTTTAGCGTTTGTTACTTCAAGAAATCAGACAATCCTTGGCAGTAATGTGTACCTCAGGTAGTTAAAGGAAATGCCATGATATGGAGGGGCAAACTACACATTTTATTACATTGTGCTCAACATACTATGGATAATAGACTTCTTCACACACAAATATTCCTTGACCTGAAAAACATGGTCCACAAATTTCACATTATTGAAAAGCTCTAAATTTACACTTTTAGTACTGTTGAAACTGATGTTTGGCATTGACACTGGTGACCAAGTGTTTGACTATAGCAATGCAAGTTTAATAATGAGTACATGAAACTGCAGAGTAACTGGTTAGTTGGAAACAGTTGAGTCAAGGAACATATTTCATTTCTATAAAAAATTAAGTATTGAGATATGTTTTTGTTGAGTGCTGAGGTATTATATTTTTTTGGTTAATATTGTTAATACAAGTATTTGAACATCTTTTTAGACATCTTCCTCTTGAATCAGCATTTACTCTTAATCAATCTAGTTATCTCTGATGTGATGCTGTGCACCATCATGAATTACTATCTTGTTCATAAATACACTAGTGAGCCATAACCAACATTTGTCTTCTCTGTTAAACCATATGTTTCCCAATATGTTCTGCAAATCACACTATTTAATGTCAGTTGTGCTGCGGCACTACTTTTGTTTACTGAATGTGAAAAACGCAAAAATGTTTCAACTGATTTTGCATACTTCTGTTTGAAATCTGAGGTGCTATATTTGCAAGTGTTTCAGCTAAATTTGTCTAATCTCTCTGTTTATTATAATAAATCAAAAATGTACATACACACTAACCTTTTAACTGTGTTTTGATAAGAAATTGTATTTAATATTAGCAATATATAGAAAAAGTAATCCATTTTTCTAACTAAAGTATTTTTTATAGATTATTTCTTATTTTAAACTATTCTTGTTTGATCACTTAATCTTGAACATTTTATTTCATTTCAGATTGCAGTTCAAGCTGCTTTAATTGCAATTATTGGTAATTAATATTCATATCCTTTGATTTCAAAAGAATTAAGATTATACTTGTAATAAATTTTTATGTCCTCCTTTTTATCTGAATTATATATTTTTTATTGCCATAAAAATTTGTGTCCCAAGATAGAGGTATCAGAATCAAATTATATTTTATATATATGAGAGCAACACTGATATGAGCAAGTGTTTACAATATCGAATCAAAAGGCTATTTTATTACAAGAAAAAACTACTAATGACTGGAAGGTTCTAGTACCCTGTTGGGCCACCCCTAACTTGAATATACAATATGATACGGTTGGACATTGAAGCATTGAAATCTCATATGGTATCCTGCCTCAGCTCATTCCATAGTTGCTGTAAGAGCACCTCTAGTTCGATTAAACTTCTAGCTGTCCAGCTTGCTGTTCCAAGTGATCTCAGATATGCTCGATCTGTGACAAAGCTAAAGATCAGGCAGGCCAGGAAAGTCTGGTAATGTGGGAGAAGCATTCCTGTGACACCCTTCTTGTCTGTGACCAACAACATTGTTCTTTTGAAAAATGGCTTTTCAGAGCTCTGCCATAAGCAGCAAAATATGAAGCTGAAGGATGTCACGAACATTCTGCTGGGCTGTTACGGTGCCATGGCTCAATATTATACATAGGTGGCTGGGTGTGCTATGCGATGACACTCCATCCCATCACGCCATCTGTGAGAGTAGTGAGCTGCTGTTAAGTTAGGATATAGATGTTCACTAGGTTGTCATCATTGCCCAAATTTAATTTCAACTCATTGCTGAAGATGACCTGTTTCCATTTGGTTGTGTTCCAGACTCGTTGAGCATCACTTCATTCCAAATAGAGACCATAGTCAGTGGCAGCATGTGTAATGGGTGCTGGGATATGAAATGTCCTTCATCCGATCAGGTATGGTATGGACAGACACAGGCCCTTACTGAAAGAGTTGGCTGTGTCCAGATGGCAGGCAGTGGTGTAGTTAGCACTGTGTATGTGCGTATCAGTTATCTCGGGTATTGGTCTGCCAAGGACATTCTGAGTGTGGGTGCTGTGTATGCAACTTCACTGGTCTCAACACCTCCTTGCAGTAAAATGAGTGCAACCTAAGTGGCAGGTGATTGCTGAGCTGAGCACCCAGTGTCCATCATCCTTGTCAAACTCTCACAGCTGATCGTATTGTTTTCAATTTATGATGGTATGCCTAGTGAAAAAGCATTTCTTGCAGCAGATTAATTACAGGCAAAATACCTGTGCATACCTTTTTTATGTGCCAGAGATAACAAAGTTCAGTGTCCTCTGGTCACATTATGCAGTTCGTAGACATGCTATGCTTTTGATCAAGCCGTTCAGCCAATATTGTAGTTAGCAACACTGACTACCATTATCAGTTGGTCTGCGTTTAAATCCCAGAGAATGCATGGGTATTTGTAAGCATATAGTGTCTATGCAGCAAGTGAGCACTCAAAATACATATCAAGACGAATGTCCTCTCAAGAAGTTAAGGGAAAGAGACTCTCAGTCTGCCTCTGGGAAATTCTCCTCCAAAATTGAGGCAAAACTGCACAGTTAGTGCAGCATGACTGCACCAATGGTGAAATTCTGGTATCGGGCCATTTTCTACCTGTACTTGCATTTCTAATCATGTGTATATTTTCCTGACACATACCTTTCATTTAAATCCAATGATTACTTCTCAGTGAGCAAATTTTTATGGCTAATGACTGTATATGTTTTTTTTGTTTGTTTTATGTTATTTTGTGACATTATATTTTTTCCATCACTTTCAGTTATATTCTTTTTCAGTATGAATATATTTACATCAGTATGATTTATTTTATATTATTTAAATTTATTCACCTATTTTTTTTCTCCAACCTGTTATTTTCATATCGTATGTCTTTAGATGTTTAGGTAAATTAAATATTTCTTAAGATCAAATTTATTGTTTTAGATTGATAATAGAAGTATTTCATTTACCAATTGTTTCATACATTTTTGCGAGAGCATTCCTTTCTTTAAAGGTATGGCTTTTATTTGTCTTTATTTCTAATTTTGATAGATTTTAAATTGCATTCTGCTGAATTCATTATTTGGATGGCTGCATTAATTATAAAATTATTCAGTCTCTTGTCATTAAAACATAAATAAAATGTCTCAAGAGTTTGAAATGAATATTAAACATATCCATAAAGTTTTTTTGTATAATATTAATGAGTGCTTATTTTCATCCTATTTTGCCTATCCATTAGTTACACATTTGTTCAGATTCACTTTACTTTCATCAGCCTGCTTTTCTCTTCAATTTTTCTTCAGTAAATAGAATTTGTAGTTCTATCCTTAAACAGTCCTGTCCCACATTAGAATTCTAAAGGAATTTATAGCATTGCTTGTCTGGGAGCCAAACATTTTCTATAATAATAGATTTGAAATAAACAGAAATAATATTGAGAACAAAGTTTACAAGTAAACTTGTGAGGTAAAATGGATGAGTTTTCGTTTGTCCCTAAAAATTTTCAATCATGATTTGTTTTCTCATAGGTATTAATTTTATAAAAATTAATGCCTTATGCTACATATCTGCAGATTTTCATAACTTGAAATTATGTTATCCTTTGTCGTTTGTTCATGTATTTGTATGGCAATGTTAAGCTGCTGCCCACAAAAATAGTTCTTTAATTTTGGCACATGAGTAGGGATGTATATTTTTTTTGGGGGGGATAAGAGAAATAATATGATGCATGAACTCCATTCTTGATCATATTTGCTATTCAGTGGCAGTATTTTTTCTTTAACTCAGCTTTGGCACCTTGAATGAGGTTACTTCTAGGCAACTGAATGTGATATTTAGGCCTTTGCCACCAACGTGTAAGTAACAAATAATTATAAACTGTATATGTAAAGATATGTGATTCTGTTTTATTCAAAACGTTTGCCCATGACAAGAATCTTTCTTTCTTTTGAATCATTGTCACTAAAAGATTTGGTTACTTTTATTTTACTCAATGTAACAAAAAATGTTTCAGATTTGAAATTTTTTTCTTAATATTTTTCTTGATATTATTTGGATATTTAGCTTTGTTCTATTTTTATTTAAAAATTCTCTGTTTTGAATGTTTTCTGGTTTTATTATAAAAATTCTCTGTTTTACTCAGTCACTATTGGCTACATAAATTCTGTTCTGAACTTTTCTGTTTAAGCACTCTTTAGTTTGAGGAGGAAAGAAGCAATTTCAAAATGAAGCACAGAAAATAAGGATGTGAGGTGGGCATTTAGTATCACATTGCCTGAAAAGCTGATGCACAATTTCATTAGCATTGTTGTACAAACTCATCTGAATTGCAGACATGCAGTAGATTTGGTATTTTTCCAAATGGGCCAAAGTTTCAGACTTAAATCAGCCTAAAAGAAATTTAAAATTTTTTATTAAAGAGCATATCTCATGATCATATTATTTAATTTGAAAGTGATCAGGCCAATTAATAAAGCAATGATTAAAAGTCGTTATTTGCTTCTTAATCTTGTGCAACTTGTTTTCTAATGACTGAATATACTACCTGCTTGAAGTTTTCATTATTTCTCACATATGCAACTTAAATTCAAATCATTAATTACTCTTTTGAAAATCCTCCACAAAGACATCCATCTTTTGAGGGGGATAACTGTTATATATTAATGAAACTTTCTATTTCCGATCATGATGGCCTCTGAACATATTTTAAATTTGTTTTGGCTAAGATTAACAAAAAAACGTAAATTAATGTGTTACACTTATTTAAAAGAACACTTCAACATCTCAGTGTTGCTGACTTTAATTCTATTCATTTCAGATTGTTTAAAACATATCTCATGATTTAAACCTTTGCTGTATTTCATAATAGTGTGCCACAATTATTGTCTTCTTTTTGTTATTTATTTATGCAAATTGAACCAAACTTACAGGAAATGTAATGTGAAGCAAGACATGCAAATGATTATAATTACGAAGCAATTGCACCTGCATGAAATGAGAACCGGCCACTTGTTTCATGTATGTAAGGACTGTAAATTTGTATCAAAATCTGTTTATCGTCATCTGTCTGTGGTGAACGTTTAACTAGTGGTCAGCATGCCTAATCAACAGTGGAGGGTGCCATATCAACAACCAACAGAATTTGAACGAAGCCCCAACATTGGTATGCGAGAGGGTGGACATTCATATCAAGCAATCACAGCCCACATATAGCATAATGCCACAACAGTGATGTGTGTCAAGAAGAAATGGACAGAAGAGAACCAAACAAGGCAAAATCCTGGCAGTGGGATATACAATAGCACAATGGCACAGGACGACAGACACCTCATCCACATGTCTGTGATGGATCGTACAGCATCCTCTGGTGTGTAATCACAATGTTGGAGCATGGATACGGGTGCTCTGTTGTCATTTAATATCTCCATGATTTGTGATTGCTGCAGCATGAACTATATGCAAAGGTTCCTCTATTCAGGATTTCCATGTTGCTTAATTACAGATGCCTTGGACCTTCAATGGGTACAGCAACACAGTGCATGGTGTGCCTTGCAGCAACAATTTGTTTTCTCTGCTGAATCTCGCTACAGTTTGGAGTGCCATGATGGAAGGGCATGCGTCAGATGTTACAGAGAATATGTACCACACTGTGTTATTCAGCGTCATACCGCAGAAATGCCTGGCATCATGGCGTGGGGAGCTATTGGGTACAATTGTCGATTCCATCTAGTGCAGATAGCAGGCAAACTCAACAGTGATAATTACACTAAGGAAGTTGTGGAGTCAGAGGTCCTCCCCATTCTTCAAAGCATTCCAGGCACTGTATTTTAGCAGGATAATGCACATGCACATGCACATGTTTCTCAGACTGCAGAAGCCTTCTTTAGGGCACACAATTTTTGCTTCTTCCATAGCCTGCTTATTCTCTGGCTATGTTGCCTATTAAGCACATCTGGAATTTCATCAGTCAGCGACTAGCTCATACAGCTGGTGGGGCGCATACTAAGTCTGATTTTTAGAATTTGAATGCCATTGCCCAGAATTACATTCAGAACCTGTATGATTCAATGCCATGATGTGAACGGGCTCTCATTGCTGAGTGCAACAGACGCACAAAATATTGATTTCCAATATTCGTTTTATTTTTTTTTTGTTTCTAAATTTGATCATTTATTTATACCACTACCAGTAATGTGTGGAATAAATTTCTTTCATTTCCTACAATTACTTCATGGTGTTGCATTTTTCACAAACACTAGTGTATGGAGTTTTCTGCAGATTTAAAGCCATTGTAAAATGGAATTTTAAGTAATATTAAAGATAAAATTTGGCTGCTTCATTCATATCTCTGAATTATAGCACTGCTGAATGTTTTTATTTGTCTTTTATGTATTTATTTATTTTGTATTCTATTGAAAATAAATTTTCTTAGATGCTTAAGTAATAATTTTCAATCTATATGCAGATCTGATACAGAAGAAAGTGTATGTTATTTTAGTATTAATTTAATTCAGTTGATGTAATAAATTACTATAATATTTCATTTATGGAAATTTTAACAGAGCTTAAATTTAATGTATTTCTTTTTCAGTTACCTGGAATGATTCATTTGCTGCTTTGCAGGCATTTGAAATATCTGCATTTCTTTACTTTGTGGTGTTTCTGTTCACTTTCCAGTTCAAAACAGATTACAACTCGTTACTTATTTTGTGAGTAATTTTTTCATTATGTCCTGTATGCATATTTTCTTTTATTTCATATGCATATCAATCTGTTAGTTTATTTTATAGTTTGTAAAATTTAAAAAAATATTCAATTCTAGAAACACATTACATACCATAAAAGTATTCATTCAGAACTGTGATTCCCAGCCTGAGGTTTATCCCTGAGCAGTAACAAGGGCTTAGTCAGTAATATGGGACAAAATTATCAGTAATGGCAGGGACTAAGAAAAGTTCATAGAAAGCAAAATATTCAGGAAATTTAAATTTGTTTTTGAATGAAAGTGAAAGCAGATGCAAGAATTTTCAGTTTGACCATTACTGACTGAAATGTGTATAAAAACATGCAATTAGTTAGAACTTTTCCAACCTGTATACCTGTCGTGTTACTTGATTCTTTATGTATTGCATGCTGTCATTCCCTTATATGCTTTTTCACTGTGTATTGACTGCATAAAAATGATTGGCAACCATGTTTTCAGTATTCAGTGAATCATCAAGTCAGGTAGTAGTTCTCTTTCTTTACATTTGCGGCATTCAAACAAGTTTCAGGATGGGGTTTTCCCTGAACCCCTTCGCGCCGGGTACCTGAAACGCACGCTTATCGCGGAGGCCGGCAGTGTCTTACTCAAGTGTCTGTTCAGAGCCGGGGCTTTTTTGCTATTAAGCCTAAATCCATAAAATTTCCGAAGTATCTACGCATTGTTTAATAATGCTCCATAGAGTATTTAAACGGCTTATGCTTTATAGATATTTTTATATATGCTTTAATTACCTTATTTCTTGTTTAAATGCATATTTTACACATTTTATTTTCATTACTTACCATTTTATGACTTTTAACATTATACATCTGAAAACTAAATATATTATTTAAAATTCTCTTTTCGTGTGAAAAATTTGAAAACAGGGATCTACACACAGTCCTATGTTACATTCCTTGCACTTGTAATAACTCATTTGCCATTTTGGAGGATTTTTCCAGGAATGTGAACAAACGAAGCATCGTCGTCTCATTTTCTTATCAGTCTCTTCTGAACATAGCTTTGGAAAATGTCTTGCAGTTAATCTTTCAGAATCAATATCAGAATATCAGAATTTCAGAATCAATATCTGAAATATTTTTGCATCATTTCTGCTATTTCATGCTCTGTTAAACATTTTCGACGCTTCGACATTGCAACGGTAAAAACAGAAAGAATTCACGTCTAACAAGATGTAATTATTTTCTAAAAACTGAACTGCAAACCGAAATACCCAACGCTTTAGCGAAAATAAAACTTCTCTACTTACAATAAACAGCTACCACGTTCGAATTTAAAGAGACGTCATAAATCACGCCATTTGGAAACATTTATTTCCCCTTTTGTTTATATAATCAAAATCACGTGTATGTGAGTCATGCTTCTCTCATTTCGAGTAGAAGGTCTAATGTACATGTATCTGAAACTATATGGACATACAGTGCCATCTTGTGGCAGAAATTATAGTTTTTAAAATGTTCCAGAACAGTGGCACAAATACGTGACAGTCGGGGCTTAACGGGAAAACGCTCTGGCATGCCTGCGTGTCGGCCGGGAAGTGAATGTGTTCATTGCTGGCACATAGACGGAACAGTCGGCACGAAGGGGTTAAGGACCAGTGCCGGGAGAACGAAGCGCAGTCACGGGACCGTACCCGCTGAAATGGGTCGTCGCCACCGGCCTGCGCATTTTCAGAAGTTAAGCCTAATTTAAAAAAAAAAAAAAATCGTAAAAAATCAGCAGTTTGAATTTTTGAAGTTGCGTATTTAATGTACTTGTTTTTAATGTGTATTAATATAAGGAATATTACATTAATAGAAATAAATTAAACAGGCAAAATACTAAAATCATACACAGAAATAAATACTATAAACATGAAAAAAAATTACAAATATGAAATTAAAAGAATAAACAAGAATTACCAGTAGGAAATTAAATTCCAATTTAAAAATTCTGCTGTGTGGGAAATATTTCAAAACAAGGATCGACACATAGTCCTACATTGCATATTTCGCACTCAAAATACGTTGTTTGCTTTTGCTTTTCCTTGGTTTTAGCACACACAACGCATCTACTCCTACCTTTGTTACCTTTTCCGTCAACGTAAATTTTCAGAAACTATCTTCCAATTAGATGGAAAGGTGGAGTGTCCGGTGATTTTGGACAATTTTTTAAGTTTTTAAGTAAGGTCTCTTAACCATGGCTAATGGAATGAAACTGAATATAACCCTAACACTGTATTGACTGACTGCACTGTGTATTGACTGCATAAAAATGATTGGCAACCATGTTTTCAGTATTCAGTGAATCATCAAGTCATTGAGGTAGTAGTTCTCTTTGTTTACATCTGCAGCATTCAAACAAGTTTCAGGATGGAATTTTGTTATAAATTAGATTGTTTTTTAAAGTTGTTAAATGTAAAGTGCTGTTTATGTGTAAGCAGATAAATAGTTTAAAAATAGATCTTTGTACAGAACTGAAATAATTTTGGATAATATCTATGATATGGCTAGCGACTGTGCCAAGAAATTTTTGAAGATTGCATAGTTCTGTTAAGCTTGAAATTGCACAAAGAACTTGCATAATTATCCTGTATTTTTTTAAAAACAAATAAACTCGATTTGGGATTATAGAACAGTTCCATAACTGTTTTCAAAGTTGCTTGATTAAACTAATGTTTCAAAGTGTCTGACTAAATTAATGCTATGGTCAATCAGAAATTATGTAATGAGAAGCACAAGACCAAAAATTTTGAGACATTTTAGAACTTCTTCTCAGAAAATGAGCTTTAATTTAGTATAAAATTTAACAAAAGCTTCATTGTAATAATCCACTGTAAAGTATTTGAAAATTCTCTTGGGTATCACTTTTCCATGTGAAATAAGGAAGGCAAATGGATTTCATTTCCTTTTAATGAAGATTTCTTTAGAGAAGTCTCAAAGTTATCATTTTCTGAGAAAGAAGAATATATTGATTATTTTTTGTAACCTTATTCATTGTAGTTTATTAATTGTATGGTGTTTAAATAATGCAAAAGCGAGATACATTGGATCCTTGCTGAACATGAGGGTTAAGTCCTTAACACCTTGCATGTATGGCAGAATCACATTCAACAAATATGACTTTCTCTAGAAAAAACAGCTTGGATATCGTTCATGTTAAGAGAGTATGTATAATTTTTACAGACCTAAATACCAGGTCTGGCTATTAATTTCCAGGACTGACGTAACTGTAGGAGAATGAAAAGTCGGAAGATAGTGCTAATGGTTGCATATTGAAGAGCGTTTTCTTGCACATGTACAGTGCAATTGACGCTATTCTGAAGTAAGTGGTTCTCGTGAAAAGGCGCATTAAAACATATCTCTTAAATTCCTATTGTCGAAGGGAAAATGGAGCAAAGAATTAACATTAAATTTTGCTTCAAATTGGGCAAGACAGCTGCAGAAACCTACGAAATGTTAAAACAAGTTTACAGCGAGGAAGCATTATCCTGCTCAAGAACTTTTGAATGGTTTAAACACTTTCAGGATGGGCGCGAAAGCATCGAAGATGATCCACACACAGGTCGGCCGCAGTCCATACACATGCCGGAAGCAATTGAAAAGTTTGCGATATGATGAAATGTCATCGTCAATTGACTATTCAAGTACTCTCTTTGTCCATGAATTCAACATGAACAAAGAGACAGTTCGGCGAATTTTGACGCAAAACCTAGACAAGCGCAAGATTTGTTCCAGATTCGTTCCTCACCATTTAACCCATTCGCCGCTGGTGTTGAGTTGACGCAACGGTCAAAATAAATGCGTATATAAATATAACTACCTAAGATATTTTATACCAGCAGATGATTTTGTGTAGGGAATATTATGATTATTTATGTAAAAAAATATTTGCCTTTAACAATCATTTTGTTTATAATAATTAATCTCGTACTTTAAGCAAAATTTTCGACCGGGTATTTTTGCTGAAAATATTTAACCAAAGAATCGCCATCTTTATGAGTGATCTATTTTTAGTCAAGGTCACCATTTATCAGAACATTACATCAGTCGGATGTTTATATTTGTGTTGGGAAGGAAGGGAAAACAGGTGTTGCGCCAACGCAACATCAGCAGGAAATGGGTAGTCAATCTCCTTTTTCACTCATTCCTTTCGATGTTCTGGTTCATGTTCTGGTTTTTTAAAAATGCCTAGAATGAGGTATCTTACATTAGAAGAAGCCCTTCAAAGATTTTTTGATAAAGAAACAGATATGATAATGTTAATAATGACCAAATCTAATGTATCAATTGATTTTTTCAAAGTATTTAATTTTAAAAAAAGATAATTTCAACTGAAAAAATTGAGAAAGTGGTTTATAAAATCTTACTCTTTCAGCTATTATGCAAAGTTACTTTCTTAGTAATAAGCCAGGTGACTACTTGCACAGGCGTGAAGAACTAGAACACAGGGAAAGGGTTTAAATTGCCCTTTATTTGATTAAAACTCTAACAAAAATGCACATACTTCATGCTCACAGTATCACTGAATACTTGCAATGGGAATTTAAGAATAATTTAAATGACAAAGAGTCGTGCTGGAGTACTTAGAACTAACAGGCTGACTCAGCAACCTACACCAGTGATAAACTTTAATAAATGTCCAGAAAATATAGCAGCAACTAATGATTGACAGCGGGAAGGACAGAATAGCAACGTGCACTGTGCTAGCAAAATCATGCTCTAACTTTCTCTTTTCGCTTGTTTAAATGCTCTTTCAGTGAGTTTGCATCCTGGTGAGGAAATGCAAGAGAAAATGAGTTCAGGAAAGATAAAAATCCCTGTGTTATCAGATATTAATTATTCAAATTAAGGGAGCCCCTACAGGTTGAGAGATCAAAATAATTAACTATAGTTGATTTATTATTCACTGTTTTTCTGATGTAAGATTCATATTTTATAAAATGTAATTTCAGAGCTTTCTGAA